AAAAAAAAAAAAAAAAGAGAATCTCTCTCTCTGCCCCTCCCCTGCTGGTGCACGCACGCATGTACTTTCTCAAAACAAAACAAAAAAAAGTATGTACACAGTGTGCTAAAATTTTTGGAGGAATGGGAGAACATAAGTATATTTGTATGCTTAATAAGTAGGAGGCAGGGAGAATGGGATTGAGGGGGACAGGTAGGAGCAAGACTTTTCAAAGTATACCTTTTTATATTGCTCTGATTTTTGAATCATTGACTCTATTATCTTATAGAGGCCTGAGGCAAAAGTATTTGTTGATCATTAAGGCCGGAGTAAATTTTCTATGAACTTCCCAAAGGAAAGGTAGGAAATCTTAGACCAAACTGCAAGTTCCCATTAACTCTCACTATAAATTTCAGTGCACAAATTGGAGCCCCTCCTAAAAACTCTGCTAAGCCACAATGGCAACATGTGACAGGTGAGATGGGCAGAAAGTCACATAAAAGAGCAGTGAATATCCACAGCTTTGCTAATTCCACCAAGATGTCAAACAAATATGGACTTCATACTAACTCTCTTGCCTAAGCTAGGGGAACTCTTGCAACATAACCATTCTAAATCTCTCTGGATTTAACTCAAGGGAAACTTGAATTTAAACTTAATATGCTAGGGGCACCTGGTTGAGCATCCATTCTACTTAGGCTCAGGTCACGATCTCACAGCTCGTGGGTTCGAGCTCCTCGTCAGGTTCTGTGCTGACAGCTCACAGCCTGAAGCCTGCTTCGGATTCTGTGTTTCCCTCTCTGCTCTTCTCTCTCTCTCTCTCTCAAAAATAAACATTAAATTTTTTTTTTTTTAATTTTTTTTTTCAACGTTTATTTATTTTTGGGACAGAGAGAGACAGAGCATGAACGGGGGAGGGGCAGAGAGAGAGGGAGACACAGAATCTGAAACAGGCTCCAGGCTCCAAGCCATCAGCCCAGAGCCTGACGTGGGGCTCGAACTCACGGACCGCGAGATCGTGACCTGGCTGAAGTCGGACGCTCAACCGACTGCACCACCCAGGCGCCCCCATTAAAGTTGTTTTTAATATGCTAGAAGTCCACAACCCCTCAAGGCCAAAAAACAAAATGACTGCTCTGAAAACACAACCCTGAAGAAGCTCAAGAACTTTCCAGCTTCATCTGTCTTAAAACACCAGCTTGGGTAAAACCATCTATCTATCTATCTTTCTTTCTTTCCTTTTCTTTCTTTCTTTCTTTCTTTCTTTCTTTCTTTCTTTCTTTCTTTCTAAGAAAAAAATTTTAGGTTTTATTTACTTTGAGAGAGATGGCACAAGCAGGGGAGGGGCAGAGATAGAGGGAGAGAGAGAATGCCAAGCAGGCTCTGCACTGCCACCACAGAGCCAGACACGAGGCTTGAACCCACGAACTGTGAGATCATGACCTGAGCCAAAACCAACAGTCGGACGCTCAACCGACTGAGCCACCCCGGTGCTCCCAAAGCCATCTTTCTTATTACTTCGTTTTCTCGTGGAGCATACCAGAGGTGGGAAAGCAATCATACCTGGGGTCTAAAATCACTAGCTACACTGGGCAGAGGCAAACTTTTGGATTCCTTGATAAAAGGCCAAAGTTGTACACTAAATGGTTTTAGGATGAACACAATACTAAAGATTGCAGCTAAAGAAAAATGACTGGCTTGAGATAAAAGGGGGCTTATTTCGTAAAGTCAAAATGTCCCAGGTGAATAAACAGCATTAACTTTTCTCATGCATAGATGTAATTTAAGAGAGGAAAATTCTGGTATATTAAAATTGAAGTGAATAAAAAGAAATCCAGTATGTGTTTAGTCATTCAGTACTTACATAAACCACTTAATTTATAATAACAAACTCAGATGGCCTATGTCAGCAGCCTAATACACTGGGAAAAGCATAGTTTCTTTGTACAAGAACAGTATTACCAGAGATAAACATCAAGAATTACTCATTAAGCTAAAGGGAAATCTGAGAATTAACAAATCTTAGTCTAAAGAGACACAGAGAAGTTTGGTTGTTCAAAATTTACGCAATAATTTCCCCATGTACGTGAAAATAGGTGAACCAATTGTTTAGGGAAGGAACATCTAAACTTGGTTTGCTTTGAACCTCGTGATTGCTTCCTTAAGACAGGGAATTTAAGTTGAATGAAAAGTGCTGTGGAGCTGGAAAAGGACTATTTTCTGTCAGTGAAGGTAAGACCACCCTATAAGATGAACTGAAACCCTGAAATTTCCTGCCAGCAAGGAAGAATAACTGAGGTAATTTCATACATTTATTCTGGAACTGGGAACCTCTGAGCCAGCCCTTTTCAATCTCCTCAGTTTCTTCTCTATAATTAGAACGTGGCCACAACCATTTCAAATAATGAATCTTATGGCTGGTATGAAAACTTGATTTCAGGAGTATACTTTCAAAAACCATTTAAGAATAAATATGGCCAATATAATTCTGTTTCCAATCATTAAAATTTGTTCTGCAGAACCAAACAGAAAACTATAAGAAAATGTTAAAATAAAATTTTTCAGGCCGAAGAAATAATCGAATCCATAGTTAAGAAATCTAATCCATATTTAAGAAATTGAAATTCTTGAGAGGATTTAGAAAAATTATATAAAGAAAGTGGCCTGAAGCCAGGCATGTAGCAGCACAACACATTAGATCCTTCCATCTGTTTTCTCTGGATACTCAAAATTTTAACGCAAGGAATGTGTGGGTGTTAGTCAAATCTTTTGATTCAATGAACAAAATGTCTTTAAAATGTTTCACTGTCAAGGCCTGCCAGAGGAAGGCATCAGAAGGGCATACTATATGGTATTGGAAGTATTCCTGCCATAAGCTTATCACAATTCCCTCCATCTCCAGCCAAAGGTCATGTCCCACATAGTTGCCCAGGCTGAAAATAATTCTAATCCACTAGAGTTACACATAGAATGTGCCATTCCAGTGACAGCACAGCTTACAGCAAGAGTTCTCCTCTAATGGGACTGACAACAGTAAGATTTTATTTCTAAATGTGTCTTGGAGCTTTCAAAGATTAAAACACACAGATCTTCACCACCCCAGCCTCCTTGCCTGTACAGGAAACAACCAAGTTGTGAGAGCGTTTATCAGGCATGGACAGACACATCAGGCCTTGCAGGTGCTAGACAGGAATCACAAATGCTGTTCCATGAGATGTCTTCTGTTAACCCGAAGCCTTTGGTTTATTTTGTTTAGCAAACCACTCATCACTTTTATCTGCCGCCATTGCCTATAGAAAGAGAATTGGAATGTATATTTAAGTCTATAAAACAAAACATACAGTCCACTTGGTGCCTCTCATTGCAAGTGCATTGTCCACAGTCATTAACAATTACAATATACTGAATGCATTCATTCGGTATAGAGTATTATGTTTAATTTCACTGGATGCTGATGAGTTTTGAGCAACTGTTTGCAGATTCTCACATGGCAGAGCGAAGGGTAAAGCGTGCATCCAGGGGGTGTGGCTGGACAGCTGACTGATCAGAGAGCAAGGAGCAAGCACACGAGTCTGCGGGGTCCTTGGTAGAACAAAAGGCTTGTCACTCTTCGCGTCTGGGTAGGCTCTCAAGCACTTTCAGTGCTAATGAGACTCAGTGTTACGAGACCAGATATGAAAAGCTATTTTCATGTTTTAGCCATTAAGCCTGGAATGATTTGCTTTTACAATGACTCCTCTGATACCATTCTACTGATGTTGGTACTGTTTGGTTAGTTTGGGACCTCTTAATTAAAAAGGAAGCCTTGTGAATATGTTTTGGTTCCACTAGAGTATTTTTATTTTATTATTCCATGAGGCTAAGACCATGGAGAAGGGCTTATAGAGTGATCTGGGCTTAGAACCTAAGTCTTTTAAAACTTCCTGTCCAGGGGCACCTGGGTGCTCAATCTGTTAAGCGTCCAACTTCGGCTCAGGTCATCGTCTCACAGTTCGTGAGTTTGAGCCCCACATTGGGCTCTGTGCTGACAGCTCAGAGCCTGGAGCCTGCTTCGAATTCTGTGTCTCCCTCTCTCTCTCTCTGCCTCTCCTCTGCTCGCTCTCTGTCTCTCTCTCTCTCAAAAAGATAAAAACATTAAAAAAAACCCCAACTTCCTGTAATAAAAACATGCATATGCTAAAAGGGTATTTGGTAAGGATATACATTAATTTATTCAGTCAAAAATCAAGTACAGAAATACCTTTAAAAATGTCAGTTTTCATTATGAGCCAGGTATTATGCTAGGTTCGGGTGTGGTGGCAGAGACCTAGTCTGAGGCTTTGAGGAGCACACAGAATAGCTGAGGACTCAGATGGAGACAACTATTTTGCATGAGGGAGCACGCATGTGTGTGTCTCGTAGGGCATTTGCTGTAAGAGAAGCACGAACAAGGTGATATGAGACCAAAAGAAAACAACTAAGTGGTTGGAGAAATGGTATAAAAAGACTCATATACCTCAGCAGGAAGTGCAAAGATGGTGTCTGCCACTGAAAATGAAGAAACAGAAGTATATGTATTTTTTATTTAGAAACCGTGAAGGTGAAAGTGGCTGTCTTGGGCGGTGGGATTCAGAGATGGGACTAGACACCGTCGCACTGACTTATATAAAATCTTAGCGTTATGTGACCTTCTTTTGATGAACATAAAAAGGTTTTTGAAAATCAAGGTATGCAAAATAAGAGAAAACCGACAAAGGTGCAGAAGTTTCTGTCACTTAGGAGCCATAAAAAATGAGGGAAACAACAAATGCTGGTGTGGAGGATCCAAGAAAGCTTCTGAGTTCCGAAGGATGAGCTGACTAAGAAGGAAGGAAATAAACCTTTGGGTGGAGGCAAGAAGATACATCTTGGTGAATATACACGGCTCAGTGGGACTAGAACAGGAGGAAGGGTGGGAGAGGGGCAGCACGGATCAGATAGCAGGGAAGGGCCAGACACGCTCCATGCTCTGTCAGAGTTTGGAATGTATCCTGGAGGCAGCAGGAGCTATGAGAAGACTAAACGGTTTTTGAAATGACTGGATTTATGTGTTAGAAAGCTGGTGTTGGCAGCAGGGATGGCTGGAAGGTGAGAGGAGGCTTTTGCACTATTATAGGTGATAATGAGGGCCCTTTCCAAAGGGAAGTGGATAGACGAGAGATTTCAGAGTGGAACTCACACCTCTTGGTGACTAAATAGCTAACAGAACTTAGGGGTGAGGAGAAACAATGTTCAAAAATTGCTTTTTAATTCCAAAACAATTCTAAGATAAAAAGCCTATTAAATGTGAAAGTAAAAGCAGTTCCACTGCTAGGTATTTACCCAAGAGAAATGAAACATGTCTACGAGACTTCTACAAGGATGTTCCTAACAGTCTTCCTTCTTTTTTTTTTTTTTTTTTTTAATGTTTATTTATTTTTGAGAGAGAGAGAGACAGAGTGTGAGCAGGGGAGGGGCAGAGAGAGAGGGAGACACAGAATCGAAAGTGAGTGCCCAGGCTCCGAGGCTGTCAGCTGGGAGCCCGTGGCTCAACTCACAGACTGTGAGGTCATGACCTGAGCTGAAGTCGGGTCAGCTAACCGACCGAGCCACTGCAATAGTCTTCTCCTTCAATAGATAAAAATGTTAAATTGCTCCACCTTTTTTTAAACATTTTTTCATGTTTATTTTTTGAGAGAGAGAGACAGAGCATGAGCAGGGCAGTGGCAAAGAGACAGGGAGACACAGAATCCAAAGCAGGCTCCAAGGGCTGAGAGGTCAGCACAGAGCTCCTGATGGATGCGGGCTTTGAACTCATGAACTGTGAGATCATGACCTAAGCTGAAGTCAGACACTTAACCAACTGAGCCACATAGGAGCCCCTAAATTGCTCTGCTTAAAAAAAAAAAAAAAAAAAGTTTTATTTATTTTTTAGTAATCTCTACACCCAATGTGGGGCTTGAACTCACAACTCTGAGATCAAAGAGTTGCATGCTCTTCCAAGTGAGTCAGCCAGGTGCCCCTAAATTGTTCTACTTTTTGAAATGCCCATGAATATCTGGGTGAAGAGGTTTCGCTGGCTGTTAACACTAGGTCTGACAGAGAGACAAAACATAAAAAAAGCTGATAAACTGACTTTAAAATTTTTTTCTGCTCTTCCCCACTTACAGCAATGGACAGATCATCTAAACAGAAAATCAACAAGGAAACAATGGCTTTGAATGACACACTGGACCGGATGGACTTAATGGATACATTTAGAACATTTAATCCTAAAGCAGTGGAATACACATTCTTCTCAAGTGCACATGGAACATTCACCAGAAAAGATCACATACTGGGACACAAATCAGCCCTCAACAAGTACAAAAAGATTGAGATCATACCGTGCATATTTTCAGACCACAACACTATGAAACTCGCAATCAACCACAAGAAAAAATGTGGAAAGATAACAAATACTTGGAGACTAAAATTTTTTCTGTTCTTATAAGACTGTGTTAAAATAAATCAGCAAGCCATAGACTGGGAATAGTACTTGCATTTGTAGAGATTTAACAAGTGACTTGCTTCCAGAACTCCAATAAATCAATGAGATTTAAAAAAAAAAAAACAGATTTGAGCAGGCCTTGAAAAATAAGCAAAAACTCAAATGACAGAAGGGCCATTCCAGGAGAATAAAGTCATGTGAGCAGACACACAGTATGGAAATACATTCATATTTAGAGATTATAGACTAGAATAGCTAAGATGTAAAAGAGATCAGAGGTGTCTCTTCTAATCTGTTTGTCATGAAACTCAGTGGATCATATACATTGTTCTATATTGATATAGTCCAATTATATTAAATATAATTAAAAAATACATAGGGAGGGGTGCCTGGGTGGCTCAGTCGGTTGAGCATCTGACTCTTGATTTTGGCTCAGTCATGATCCCAGGGCTGTGGGATGGAGCCCTGCATTGGATGCTCAGGGAAATTTTAACAAAAACTGGGTCTTCACTGACATTAAGGATATAGCATTGATTTTTTTGGGTGTAATATCAATATGGTATATAAGAAAATTTCTTGATTTTTATTTTTTTTAATTTTTACTTCTTTTAAGTCATCTTAAAATGTATAAAATACTTAAGTATTTAGGACTGAAATACAGCATCTAAGATTTGCCTTAAAATTCCCCAGGGGGAAAAAAAAAGTGGGGTGGAGGGAATGATGAAAGATTATGGCAGAGTTGAATGGTGACAATCACATAGGGATTTGCTGTATTCTCCTATGTGTTTCTGGAATTTTTAATCATCAAGTATTAAAAATAAAATCTACTAAGGAAAGAAATGGATGAAAGATTTGAACATAAAATTCACGAAGGAAGATATGCAAATAGGCAATAAGCAAATGCAAAGGTGTTCAACATCAACAGTTATCAGGGAAATGCACATTAAGCCACACTGAGAAACCCCTGTACATGTTCTAGGAGAGCTAAAACAAAAACCCAGAAAAGCACAAATGCTGATGAGGATGTGGAAAAGTCGGAACTCTCAGATACGTACATGGCTGGCAGGAGCGTAAAATGGTTCAACTGCTTTGTACAGTGGTGGCAGTTTCTTACAAAGTAAGAACAGTTCCTCTCTTAGGTATTTACCCAAGAAAAATGATTCATGTCTATAAGATTCACACAAGAGTGTTCACAGTAGGGGCGCCTGGATGGCTCAGCTGGTCGAGTATCTGGCTCTTGACTTCAGCTCAGGTCATGATTTCACAGTTTGTGGGATCAAGCACCGTGTTAGCCTCTGTGCTAATGTCAAGGAGCCAGCTTGGGATTCTCCTCTCTCCCTCTCTCTCTGCCCCTCCCCTACTCGTGCTCTCTGTCTCTCTCTCAAAATAAAGAAACTTAAAAAAAAAAAAAAGAACGTTCATAGTAGTCTTCCTTATAAATAGATAAAACTCTGGAAATAACTCAAATATCCACCATTGGAAGAATGGGTAAGCAAATCATCATATTCATAAAATTGAATACCGTTCAGCAATTAAAAAAAAACGGGGCGCCTGGGTGGCACAGTCGGTTAAGCATCCGACTTCAGCCAGGTCATGATCTCGCGGTCCGGGAGTTGGGCAGTGAATGGGCTGATGGCTCAGAGCCTGGGCCTGTTTCAATTCTGTGTCTCCCTCTCTCTCACCCCTCCTGTCCTTGCTCTGTCTCTCTCTGTCCCAAAAATAAATAAACGTTGAAAAAAAAAAAAAAAAAAGAACATGGGTGCCTGGGTGGCTCAGTCAGTTAAGCATCCGACTTTGGCTCACGTCATGATCTCATCACAGTTTGTGAGTTTGAGCCCCGAATTGGGCTGCTTTGGATTCTCTCTCTCTCTCTCTCTTTCTGCCCCTCCCCGTTCATGTTCTTTCTCTAAGAAATAAATAAAGATAAAGAAAAAAGAACTCTGATATGTACAATTACATGGAGGAATCTCAAAAATGTTATGTTGGGTGACAGAATCCAGGCACAAAAGAATATCTACTGAATGATTCCATTTTTAAGTCCAAGGACAAACACAAATAATGTGACAGAAATCAGTACAGTAGTTGGCTACTGTAGTAGTTGGTGGGAACTAGCTGGAAATGGGCACGAGAGAACTTTCTACAATGATGAAAGTGCTCTATATTTTGAGCAGCAGTTGTATGAGAAGAGTTAGCTGTCAAAACTTATAAAATTGAACACTAAATTTCTGTTTATTTAAATTCTAGGCAGGGGCTCCTGGGTAGCCCAGATTCCCTCTCTCCCTCTGCCCCTCTATCCTGCTCAAGCTCTCTTAAAAACAAACAAACAAACAAAAAAATCTCATGTATATTTTACCTCAGTAACAACAACAAAAAATACTTGTTTGGAGCTTAGGGAGGAGTAGGGACTAGAAATTAGAAGTCAGAGAATGGAGGTACCTGGGTGGCTCAGTCAGTTAAGTGTTCAACTCTTGTTTTCAGCTCAGGTCATGATCTCATGATTCATGGGTTCAGCCCCATATTGGGCTCTGCGCTGACAGTGCGGGGCCTGATTAGGACTCTCTATCCTCTCTCTGCCCCTCCCCTGCTCTCGCTGCCTCTCAAAATAAATAAATTAAAAAAAAAAAAACCAGAGGGTCGGAGAATGATGGTTGCAGCTCAGCGCAGAGGTAACCAGAGGACTCAGAGAAGAAGAATGGCACATGAGAATAAAAGAGCCAAAGTGGGACCACACGTAAATCATTTTGGAATGAGACAGAAAGCCATGCCTGTGTCTGCGAAGCTATCAAATATGAAGATGGCAGGATCTGTAAGACCAAAGCAGAAGTGAGCTCGAAAGAGGACGAAGTTGGTCAGTGATATGAAAGAGTAAGAAGGATGGGGCGCCTGGGTGGCACAGTCGGTTAAGCGTCCGACTTCAGCCAGGTCACGATCTCGCGGTCCGGGAGTTCCAGCCCCGCGTCAGGCTCTGGGCTGATGGCTCAGAGCCTGGAGCCTGTTTCCGATTCTGTGTCTCCCTCTCTCTCTGCCCCTCCCCTGTTCATGCTCTGTCTCTCTCTGTCCCAAAAATAAATAAACGTTAAAAAAAAAAAAAAAAAAAAGAGTAAGAAGGAAAAGAGTCTAACGAATGTGCCACCTGAGAGGCTGCCTGACATTCTCCTTTCCTTCATGATAAAATTTATAAACGCTACATTTTCTGTCTCTTGCTTTCGCTAACATTAACTGAATGTCTGTTATTATGTCAGCAGTTTGCCACGTTCTAGAAGCCACACGACAATCCTAGGAGGTGGCTAATACGATTTTCTCAAATTTTTAGGTAAGAAAACTGAAGTTTAGGGGCGCCTGAGCATGCAACTCTTGATCTTGGGGGTTGTGGGTTCGAGCCCCACATTGGACACAGAGATTTCTTAAAGGAAAACAACACTGAAGTTCAGAGAATTTAAGCAAATCACTTAAGGTCAGTCACACAGATATTAAGTGACGGAACCAGGACAGATTGATTCATTCCTTTAATCATCAACAGAGCACTCGCAGAGTTCCCATTACACACCCAGTGTGTGCCAGGAGCTGGAGTACAACAACTGCTTTGGATGCTGCTGAAGACTGAGTTTGAGGAAGATAGAAAAGTAGCTGTGGGACTAAGCAAGACGGAGGTCATGGGTGACATCTACATGAGCGTTTCACAGAGTCACAGGAGCCAGCGCACAACAGGCTGAAGCATGAAAGGGGTAAGAAGTAGAAATGGTATGTGGGCAGATTTTTTTAAAAGAAATACGGAGAAGGGGTTTGGGGGTAAAAGATTTTTAAAAGATGGGAGACTTGAAAGCTTGTTTGTGTGTGGAGGAGAACCATTCACTGGAAAGGACAGGAGTGGCAGTGTAGATTGGAGATGAGGGGACCAAAAGAGCTAAGAAGTGAGGGGGTGCATCCGGGCATTTCCCTTAGCAAGCGGAGTCATGATGCATACAGCAGAGCAGCAGTGGTTGCCCAGGCAGCCTGAGCACATGCGAAGGGACAAATGCTGCACCCAGTTAAGGGTCACGAGGGGGGCGGG